AAGTTCTGCCACTACCAGACATTCAGAAAGTGGATTATTTTGTCTTGCAGGAAAATCACTATCAAAGCATGTTTAGACACCACGGGACAAATATATAAACTGTGAAAGAAAGTTCTTCTCCCTTTCCACATTTTCAGCCAGACAAAAATCTCTATGTGATCAAACAAAAACCACTGTGGTCAGACAAGAAGGTCAAACCACACTAATCAGCAGATCCTGTCAATTTTACTCTACATTTCCTGCATTTGTTTCTTCTTTTCCATTTCCATTTCCATCAACTCAGTCTAGGCTCTAACTACTTCTTGCCTTAACAATCACAACAGACCGCTAAATGGTTTTTCCTAACTTCATATTATTTTCTGTTGTTTTGTTTTTTGGAGGCAATCAGGGTTAAGTGACTTGCCCAGGTAGACACAGCTAGTAAGTGTCTGTGGCCAGATTTGAACTCAGGTCCTCCTGATTCTTGGGCTGGTGCTCTATTTACTGTGCCACCTGCCCCTAACTTCATATTCTCTTGACATTAATCTATCTTGCATTCTATCAATGCATTAATTAATGAAAAATCCACATTTTGAGTGTTATTTCCTATTCAAAAACATAATTCTTTTAATAAAAATATTGCTGTAAGCAAGGGAATAAATTTGGCAATATAGATACAAATATGGAAAAGGATACAGAATCTGCCCTCAAGCAGGATAATAACAGGAGATGGGACAAATACACAAAAATTAGTATAATGTAAGAATGAATTTGATAGGAGTAAAGAAGTCTAGAAAAAAGTGCTTACATCTTGGGGGGATGGAAGGAAATTCTTGAGTTTTCATAGAGAAGTTGGCACCTGAGTTGAACTGTAAAGGAAGAAAAGGATTTCAAGGACATAATGTATTATAGGCATAGGGGAGATTATGTATAACAATGCAGGTGGGCAAGTGGGCATTGAGACTAGAAGTACAGATTGGCTGGAATATAGAATGCATAAAAGCGGAGTTTTGTGACAATAAGGTTGAAAACTCTGGCGAGAAAGATTACGAAGGGCATTAATTGCCAGGCTGTAAAGTTTGTATTTTATTCTAAAAGTAATAATATTCAGTAAGCAATAAGTAATACCTCTATTATTATGCAAGTGATTCTATAAGTATTCTATAAGTAATGGGAACACTAAATGTTTAAGTAAGGGAATAGTATGGCCAGATCTGTGCATCAGAAAAAATTATTTTTGTAGTTGTATGGAAAAATGAATTGGAGAACAGAAAGTCTAAAGGAAGAGAAACAATTTAGGTGATGATAGCTCATGAGATGTTCAGAAGGTCTAAACCTAAGTGGTGTATCTGTATATGGAGAGGAAAGGATGGAGAGGAGAGAGTTTGGAATTTGAACTGAGAGCACTCGGCAAATGATTAGATAAGCATGTATGTGGGTGGTACTGGGGGAGACGAGGAAGTGTTGTGACACCAAGAAAATCATGTTCTAACACCAAGATGGGAAAGAAAACAGAGGTGTCACACTGGAGTAGGGAAAAATGAAAGAGAAGGGATGATGGCAAGGTAGAATAGAGTCAAACGGGAGAAGGTTTAAATGCCTGACAAATGAATCTGTATTTTATGACAGTGCCTAGCACATAGTAGGTGCTTTTGACTGACTGACTACCAAAAAAATATTAATACAGGAGAATTTCACTAAGGTATTAAGCAAATCTACAAGTTACAGGGCACTATGGATGAAAGACTAAGCAACACTTGATAGATGATGACTGAACTTTTACTAGAGATGAAATGCCTTCATTATGGATAGAAAACAGCTATAGATCAGAGAATAATTTTTCAACTAAAATCAATTTTTCAAACACAGTAGTAGGTAGCCAGTGCTACAGACATTTGTTATATACATTGCTAGCTGAAATGTGTACCTACAAAGTACAGATCTGTATCAAAATATGCCTGACAAGCTGATTCTGGTGACTGTGATATACCATGTTATGTCTAACACAGAGCTTTCTTCAGAGAGCACATACACAGGTCTGTGAGCATACAGTATGTAAAGATGCATATCAACATACAAGTGATGTTTATGGCATAATTCTGGAAATTATGCTAGTAAATAGGATTCGCTGAATAACTAGACTACTTCCTTGAAGACTAGAAAACACTATTAAGGAGAAAGTAGGGAACATGTAGCTTCACAGTTTTAATTTAATTAAAATGCTGAGCACATTCACAGGAATTACCACCTGTATGGTATATACAAAGAAAAGACACAATCCAATATCAATGTTAAATGAAAATGCCTCATTACCTACTCGGGACTTAGTCTAAATTAAAAAGCAAATCAAATTCCTCAGGGAAAAAAACCCACAAGGCAACAATAAGCTTGTTTTAATTTGGAATCAGAGCTGAAGCACATATTCTACCAGAGGCATAATCTGCATGTTATATCTTAGAAGATTTAAAAAAAAAACAAAACACAATTTCAGAGTGTCTGCCAGCTCAGATTTTCAAACGAAGGGATGTTATCAATGTAGTCGGGGAAACATGTCATTCTATAGGACTCCTCTCCTCAAACTGCCTAGCATTGACAAAGAAAGTTAAGAAATCAGGCTGACTGGGCCAGCAATATAGTTACAATCTACCTAAGCTCAAGTGGGCCCACCCTGCTTCTTGGCACAGCTGTTATTTATTTTTGATTTATTACTGCATTCCCCACCATGCTTATTCTAAACCTTTCCATTCTCCTTCAGCCCCCAACTGCACTTTCATGCCCTTTTCTGATAGTTTTATAGAGTATACTGAGATAATTCACACAAATTCAATACAAGTTTCTTCAATTTCCCTCCTCAGAACACCAATCATATCAGAGACTATGGCTTTTTCATCTTTGCTTCCCTCGGTGCCTAAACAGTATTTTGGAATTAGAAGGCATTCAGTAATTAGTTAGAGAAATAAATAGATTACAACCATACTTATGCCTATTAATACTAAGTGACTGGCTGATAATTAAATTGCATTCCTTACTTGGGGCAAATAGCAAGTAGGTAAATTTATAAGTAGATTCTTGTTCTGGAAGACCAGTAATAAAAGAACTCTTCCGTGAAGACTGTCTTGAGGAAGATGGCAGTGTTATGGTCTCCAGGGGACTATATAGGAATTCAAAAGTCACAGGTTCCAGCAGAAGGGATAAAGGAAGAATTCAATCAAAGTGCTCTTTTTGGGCAAAGAATTATATAAGAGAGTGGAGATAAGTTTGCCTCTTCATCAGTTTACCTATCTCTTACATGCTACGATAATAGTTCATTATCATAAGGTTTAAAGCTCCTGTCTCCTGATAGAGGGATATAAATACAGTACTATTATCAACATATTTGGTAAGAAATGAGTGAGAAAGATTTAACTTGGGACTCCCTGCTGAAGCCCATGAGAACCAAATACGGCTTACAGCTGTGAGTAGTTAAAAACAGGGAAGTCATTCTATTTAAAGTGCTGTTTTTAAAATCGTCTCCTTTCTTATAGAGTTCATCATTAAAGATATCAAAATGAAAACAAGATCTTCATTTCTCAATAGCATAATTAAGTTACTCTTGTACAAACAGTGAAGTGGTCTTCACAAAGCTTCAGTATGGAGAAGGTTCTATTAGCCAGGTTAATAAGCACTACTGATTACTTGGCTACTTGATTATTTGGAGAATAGAGACTGAAATAACAGGAATTCCTTATAGGAAGTCTTTTTACAGCCAGTCTGAGAATCAAGGTCATGATATGATATTCCAATACAAATCATCACTCTGGAGAGACTCCCTGAGATTCATTAACCCAAGGGTAAGACTCTTTCAAATGGCATAGACTAGACAAAATAACAGGGAATGGATGGGCATTTTCTGGCTCTGAGAAGGATTTTAAAAAATAAAGAACCAAGGTTTCTTTCTCTCTCAAGGGCATTGACTATTATCTTCCATTTAGATGGTATGAGACCTAAGGGCTGAGTCAGCATTCTCATTATTCCCCTCAGAAGAGACTTGGGCACAATCTAATTGATGACCCTATCTCCCCTTTACAACATATTCTGAATTCTCTCATCAGCTATGCCTATTCATTTAGTCCCAATCCCCCAATTGACATTCACTTCCCACTTCGGCTACTAATTTCTCCTCATGCTCAACTTTAAGTAGCATTGTTATATTGACAACTCCCTGGCATCTGAATGATTGGTCTGTTTCAACTACATACGTTAAAAAAAAAATGAAACAGAATGAGGGCTATGATAGGCAAAGGATAGGAAGCTGCTACAGGGAGAGGGACAGAACAAGACCTTGTAAAAATGCACACGAAGATTCTGGCAGAAGCGACCCCAGGCCAAAGGACTAGGTTGTGATTGGGAAGGGTGTTCTTGATGGTTCATAGTTAATAGGTCCCTGTAATTCAGGCTTATGGAGACATGATGAATAAAACTTTAGGGTTTCTCCCTGCTCAACTGAAATATCTGATATCAAGCCGTTAGCAGAAAAGGAGCCAAGTATTACACATTTACCTGAAATCAGACAACAGTTAACAAGGACTAATTAAATAGCATGTACTAACGAGATCTTGTATTAAGAGCTGGGGATACAAAGACAGACAAAAACAGTCTCTGCCCTCAAAAAGTTAACATTCTAAGGGGAGAGACAGCATACAAATAACAGTGCACACAAGATAAAGCACCCTGCAAATGAAAGAAGATGTCAGAGTGAAGGCACCAACACTGGGGGGACTGAAGGTTAGGAAAGGAATCCTGCAGAAGCTGGAATGTGAGCTGAATATTGAAGGAATCCAGGGAAGCGAGGAGGTGGAGATGAAGAGGGAGAGCATTCTGGATATCGGGAATATCCCCAGTTAAAAGGCATGGAAAAGGAATACAGATATTGCAGCCCCCAACCCTTTCTAAACGCCATCATACCAAAGATATTTGGTTTTAAGAGAAAGGGAGAGACAAAGAGAATGAACAGAAAACAAACAAAAAAAAAAGGCACTTACTCTAAGAACCCAGGTTTATGTTTATGTTCTACATGAGGTCCAAACTGTATCTGGGCTTGAAATCCACCAAACTCACAAGCTTTCTCAAAGGAGACTGGATGGGAACCATTCAGGATATCATCTCGAGCCTGCAAGGCAAGAGTCAGAAATGCCAGCATCTTGTAAATGCCACCATACTATATCAATACTAGCTATTATTATCATCCATTTCATTATCAGGCAGGATTTCTGCCCTTAGTGGTAACTGAAGCTTTTCAATGACCTCAGGTTCTACAACCTTACTCTCTTCAGATTCTATTAAGTCCTCCATTTCAGCTCTAATTTCATCTAATTTGGGCTAAAGGATGAAGTTATTTTTTATAATTTCCCTGCACTGATCTGAAACATGACTTAAGAGTTCAGGATACCACTGACAAAAACCAATATGATGGTCCCAACAATAACTGGCAAACTCGGTTTTCAATTTTGTTATGATATAGAACTGGTATGTAATGAAAACATTGATATATCTAGTCCACTTCATGCACATTCACGGTTTGTCTACCTTAGTGGTCAGCACCATCTTCACCAAAGCATTTCCATAAGGTGGGATATTGACATTTCTCATTTGTTCTGATGTATCTGACCATATTTTGGTGGAAAATGAAGGCGTAATACTTACTCTTTGGTCTTCCAAGTCAATCTGACCATCCCAATAGTTCCAAGTAGGAAGGGTCAGCCTACAACTTTAACTCTGGAGCAGCTGTATCATGCTGCCTCAGGTGCTATCCATATCAGAACCCAATTCCTCAGAATTTCATTCAAGGTTATTATTAATATTGTTGTCATTATCTTATTCTCCTCTTTTTTGATAATAGTAGTAATTACAATGGAGGCAGCTAGGTAGCTCTTTGGATACAGTGCTTGGCCTGGAGTCAGAAAGACCCGAGTTCAAATCTGGCCTCAGACACTTACTAGCTATATGACCCTGGGCAAGTCACTTAACTTCTGTTTGCCTTAATCAACTAGAAGAGAAAATGGCAAACCATTCCGGAATCATTCCAACAAAATCCCATGGACAGCACTGGTATGATATGGTCCGTGGGGTCACGAAGAGTCAGATACAACTGAACAAAAACAACAATAATAATTATAATTGATAGCATTTAGATAGCACTTTAAGGTCTTCAAAGCACTTAAATATTATCTCATTTTATACTCACAACTCTGAGATGTAAATCCTATTATCCCCATCTTACAGATGAGGAAACTGAGACACAGAGGGGAAGTGACCTGCGTAGGGTCATGAAGCTAGTAGGTGCCTGAGTCTGGATTTGAATTCAGGACTTCCTGATACTCTACGCATTGTGCCAACTAGCAGAAAAGGTCTGTGGACAAGTTACAATCCTGTGATTATTCTTTTATATATAGCATGCTGTTATTGATAGATAAAGTGATTTTTTTTAATTGATTAAGAGCACTGAGATTTAAAGTCATCTTCAGGGGACTCACTAAAACTATCTTAGGGACAACTCTTGTAGACATGTACCTCACCCTGTTCCCCCATAGTTTTAATGACTTCCACTAGGACGCTATGCTTTCAAGATTTTTCATTCCATGTGGTGTGGTGATTATGAGTAGATGTTAAGGTGGCAGCTACTAAAAGTCATACTTAAATTTTTTATGGATCATTGTTAGTATTGGGTGATTATGGACAAGACTTCCATCTTATAATAACGCTCCACTTCCATAATGGTTTATTTGTTGAATTCTAAAAAATATTTTGGTGTTTGTATTTGCAGTAAGGGAACTTGATATCTGTAAGTTTACAAAGGATAGCAAGCTTCTGGTGTATAATTCTAGCCACCTGATTGTTTAAGCATCTATCTGGCAGATTTTTGCAATTTATTATTTTATTTTGGGGGGGGGGTGCTAGGCAATGGGGTTAAGTGACTTGCCCAGGGTCACACAGCTAGTTAAGTGTCAAGTGTCTGAGGTGGAATTTGAACTCAGGTTCTCCTGACTCCAGGGCCAGTGCTCTATCCACTGCGCCACCGAGCTGCCCCATAAACTTTTTTTGGTTTTGTTTTGTTTTTGGTGAGGCATTCAGGGTTAAGTGACTTGCCCAGGGTCACACAGCTAATAAGCATCCAGTGTCTGCGGCTGGATTTGAACTCAGGTCCAACTGACTTCAAGGCCAGAGCTTTATCTACTGTGCTATCTAGCCGTCCCTCTGATTTTTTGCAATTTACAAGGAAGTGTTGCATAATTTCCATTACTTCATGGCACAATTCGAATCGATCAACAAATAGAAGCTTCTTATCAGAATCTTTTTAGAGTATCTGGCTGCAGCAATCTAATATGGCAGCATTACCATAAACTGCTCTGTTTCTGTAGCAAATCCATATGACTCGGCTATTTCTTGTGAATTTCTCTGTGGACATTATTACTGATTGGGTTCATGTGCATGTTACCCATGGGGTACATTTTGTTTCTACTCTGAGATTTTTAGATGTTACGTAAGCTTTGTTTGGAGATAAGCCACATGTGACAAATCTTACAGGATATGTCTATTATCTACTTCTGTTACTGCTTTGTGAAGCAATATCTGTTTGTTTCAAAAGTACTTTAGTAAAGTTTTAACCTATTTATCATGTGTTCTGAGAACATCTATCAGTCAGTCTTCTTCCTTTTTAGCAAGGATGTATTCATCTTTTTATACCTGCCTTGAATGTATGAGCCTTTTTTTTACATTAAGCTTTGATTTTAGGATGCTAATCAGTCTCTTAACAATCAATCTCTTAACAATCTAAGTGTCAGCTTTCTCCTCAATAGCCTTGAGTCTTGCCCGGTGAAGACCAATTATTATCATCATCGTCATCATCATCTTCATCATCATGAACTTGCTGACAGATTCTTCTGTTGACATATTACCATGCTTTATCACTAAAGTAAGCACCACTTGGAGAAGAACAATAAAATCTGAACAATATCACCAACAAAATGCTGAGTTGAAGTTATCACTGTTGACTTTGGTTAAGTGAAATCTCAGATGAAGAAAAAGACAAAACTCTCCCAAAATGGCAAAGTTTTAAAAGGTTAAGAAGGGAGAAGAAGTAGCTGATATTTTGAAATAAAAGATTTTACTAAAGATGCAAGAAGGTAAAGATGACCTTGAAAAATAATGGAAAAACTGGAAAGTATTTGCCAGATTATCAGGTTGAGAAAGGTGGGTCTTAGAAATTGAAGGCGTTAGCTATCTTTGACTCATATAATTTAGAGCAGGAGAGGATAGCAATATTCAGCCAGTCCAATGCCATCATTTCACAGATAAGAAAACTGACGCCCAGAGAGATGGATTGACTTATTCAAAGTTACACAGGTAGTAACTGATAAAGTTGAGAGTCAAACCTATGTTCTTTGATTGAAAATACAAGGCTCCTTCCATTATATCCTCTCATTCTCTCATTTGTTTAAGTTCCTTCCAATATCACGAAGGAAAAATTGGAGGAAAAAGTCAGGGAGGGAGGCAGTGACTGCAAAATCAATGTGATCCTGGAGGGGAAAGATACTCCACCTTCATTTAAAGAGGAGCTCATAGAATAAAACTAAAGCCTGTCCCAGAGATCAACATTACATTTTCTATAAACTGAATGCACTTGTAAATTGAAAGTATCCGTGTTGACAGGAAATGGCATGTGAACTGACTAAAAGCCCTAGAATTTACTACCTTATCTTTCCCCCTCCCTTTTCCTCATTTTCCATTCATTGATCTCTAATTCTCCTGTCCTTAATTTGTTGTTTCCTCTTCACTAGCTAAGGAATCCAGGGCTAACTTTGCTTATGCGTTTTTGGTAATTGTCTCTCTAAGCATGGTTACTTTAACAAGTATCTCAATTGGCTTGCATGTGTTTTACATGCCTAGAATTAATGTTGAGTGTTCCTTACAGGTCAACATTTACTCCAGGTCCACTCCAGGTCCCTTCCAGATCAATGTTCCGTCCAGAAGGGATCTCAAGTGGAGCAGAACTGCCCTATTTTCCATTAGATGGCTCCCCATGATTACATGGACCAAAAAAAGTGTCCAGTGGGTAGAAGTAATGCTCTGTCATGCACAATGGGTACCGGAGAAAGGCTTTTAATTACTTAACCCAACTACCACAGAGGCCACCCTCTATTCCATGTGCCACCACTGCCATGGCTTCCTAGTGGTTGCTTGAACTGAGTTTGCAGACTTACCATACCTGAACATAAAGCAAATTCAGCTGCACGGGATCTCTTGAATCTACATTCTGGTCTGAATAAAAGAATTTCCGTCTAAGCAGTAATGTTTCATTTTCATCCACTCCTTGTTCTCTAAAGGTTCGACTGTGATCTAGCCAATTTACTGGAAAGCAATGAAACTTGTATTAGCGAAAGGTGTTTATATCTCTTAATTAAAAGAATCTGACAAAAAGGCCATTTGATACAGACTGTTATTCTTGATGTTCAACTATAACAGTTAGAAAAACAAAGGTAAGAATATTTAGACAACGCTTAAAATTGGATATTTTATTGGAGAAACCATTCCATATTTGTGTAAAACCCTATTAGGCCCTGTTCAAATGCTTTATTTTTTTCAAGCTCTTATTAATATCTTTTGCTTTTATAATACCATTATTTTTGAATATTTAAACTATCAGACCTTGAAACTGCACTAAAACTTTTGAGACACTTTACATAATCCCCATCTAGTCAGCCATCTCTTGCAATACAGATTAAAAAAAAAAAAGCAAACACAAGCTGAAAATTTTCAGTGTTTTTACATCTTTCATAGGACAAGTGAAAAAAAAAAAACAAACAAAAAGAATCAAGGGATTTTAGTCCAACAAATACTTTGACTTGTTATTTTCTATCATTCCTTAAGTTCACTGAAGCAATTTGATAATAATACCAATAGTTAGAGAGCCAGCAAAACAATGTACACAATGACTACAACAATGTAAATGGCAACAACTGCAAAATAGTCAAAAATTAATATGGCGAAATGAAAACAAAACAAAACAAGAAAACAAGTTTGACCCCAAAGAAGAGACATGAGAAAACAGCCTCTTCTTCCTTTTTTGCAGAGTTGTATGTGTTTTTAGAGGAAGAGTGGGTATGTGTCTTTGGAGGAAGACTTGGGGCAAAAACAGGATCAGGGTCCGTAGGTACAGAGCATTGCATATAATGTCCTGAATCCAAGTCCAGTGCACTATCCACTAAGCCATACTGTCTCTCCTGATTAAGACTGGGAAACGCCATTTCAGATTGGGAAATAGCATGAGCATAAATCAGGAATGAGGATGATGAGGGTGATGTATTTGGGGATGGTGATGGTGGTAGTGATAATAATGATATCTAGCATTTATATACTGTACTTTAAGGTTTACAAAGCACTTTATATATATATTCTCTCATTTAACCCTCACAAAGACCCTACGAAATAGGTGCTATTATTTTCCCTATTTTGCAGATGAAGTAACTAAGGTCTAGGAATGCTGAGTGACTTGTCCAGGGTTATACAGCTAGTAAAAGTTTAAGGCAGAATTCAAACCCAGGTCATTCTGACTCCAAATTCAATGTCTATTCACTCGGCCACTAGGATCAATAAGATGATGTCTGATTAGAGCAGTGGGTCTGGGAAGCCATGAGAGATGAGGCTGGACAGAGGTACTCAACTTACTATTCCTTTAGCCTATAACCTAGAGGGTACAAAGGTAAGGCATCTAAGAACAAATAGAGAAATGTGAGAATATACTCTGGGCAAAGGAGTCTTGAATTATACAAAGGACAGAAATACAATGCCAACCTTCGCTACACTGTGCTAAGTCAACCCTGCCCCCTTCTCATGGTTCTTGTTTTCTCCCCTACACTTACAATCGTCATCGGTGTGAAGTTTGGCCTTTAGCTTCTCCATCTTTTTTTCATCTCGTAGTAGTGTTCTGTCTTTTTTGAGTGTACCCGTTCCTTCCTCTTTCTTCTCTTCAATTATTTCTTGAATTAATGAATATTCTTCATAATTGGTTATACCTAAAACAAAAAACCCAAGTGAATTAGAATAGCATTTTTGAGACTACTTTATGTAACCCTGCTGCTCCAAACAATACAGATAGGGAGTTCTAGGTGTAATGTCAAGGTTTAAACAAGGCTGATGGATGAGTTACTTGGAAATCAATACTAACCCACATTAAAAATCTAGAGAGTACCATTCATTTGACACTTTAGCCCAATTCCTGTTCTAGAAATACACACACACACACACACACACACACACACACACACACACACGAATTTCTATCCCTATCAAACACACAATACTGTGTTCTTTCCACCATGTCTTGCTACAGCATAACGTGGACCTGTTTGTATGCTGCTATCATCCCTTTTCACACCTGCTCCCCATAGCATATACACAGCAACATTTTCCCTCAAATCTTCTGGCAACAAACACCAGCGAGCACTCGACATTCCCAGCACACGACTCCTCCAGCCTCCCCACCCTCTAGATGACGTACCCCCACGGTCCACTTTTCATACAGCATTTGATGCACAGCTTCTAAAACTCATGCATCCTACAGGACTGCTTCACGGTCAGTGGTCCTTCTTCACATTGTGCCTTCCATCAGGAAAGTCTGTACCTATCCTTTCCCACCCACCCCCACGTGTCCAAAACTAATCCCATCACAATCTTGGAGTATCTAACCAGAATGTATGGCCAATGGTAATGATTCATGATATGAACTCTGCTCTCCTATCCTGCTTCAAAATTTCCCCAAACCACTTCATTTTGGCGCTGTTCCTTATTCCACCCCCCTCAATATCCGGGTCCAGCATGCATGTTTCATCAAAATACCTGGAACACCAAAGTGTTCTCTGTCCAGTTTGAGAAACTCAATCACCATATTTACATAATCACATCTGCATAATTAACAGTTAATTTACATGGTTATTTTAATAATTAATTTGCATGATTACAATGACCATAATTATGAATGGGGCTAGGGTGGGTTCAATGATCCATTTGGAGTCAGAGCACATAAGGCAGAAATTCTAGCTCTGTTTCTCGACCTTGGGAAACTCAGTTATCCTCAGTTTCCTCATCTGTACAACAAAGGGCTCGACTAGGTGACATTTGAGTTCCCTTTATGCTACAATCCTACCAACACTTTCATTCATATAACATCTGCATTTGGATCTTGTAAAGATGGAGTCATAAAAAGCTCACACTAAGAAAGAAGGCAAATAAGGGTAATATTACTGCCAGAAAAGCAGATTTCATTGAGGATAGACTGACAACTTCTAGTCCACAGCATAGAAAATCATCATTGTTACACTGCGCTTTGCCACGGTCTTAAAATATTGGCGCTTCAGAATGAGCCCCTTCTTTGAAAAGGAATGTTGCTGAACGAGTGCACCCTGAAATCACAAAATAATGGAATAGAGAGTCGAAAGAGCTGAGTCTAGTCTCATACTTTACTAGTTATATTGCTTTGAGAAAGTCACAACCTCATCTGGAAAATGAGAAAACTGTACTAGAATATGTTTATGATCACTTTTAGGTCTAAAAGTCCATGGCTTGGGATGGAGACACTGAATACCACAGGGTACTTAGGAGGAGTACTTAATTGTTTTTGTGTGTGGCAAGGATCCCTTCTCAGAACATTTTTTAACACAAAAAATAAAACATATAGTACCATAGAAGAAAACAATTATAGTGAAATACAACTATCAAAATACTTTAAAAAAAAAAAACCAAACTACAAATAAGTTCAGGGCTCCTTTGTCGATACTCTGGCACAGAGGTGGAAAAAAGGCTAAAGGAAGATCTCATGGCCCTCTTTAAGTATTTGAAGGGTTGTTAAATGGAAGAAGGACTAGACCAGGGGTGGGAAACCTGAATCCAAACTTCACAGAACCAATCCCCTGAATAAAAACATTTATTCTGTAAAACTTGGACTCAGTCAAAAGGCTTCACCCAAGGACCTAGAAGGCCACATGTGGTCTTGAAGCTGTAGGTTTCCCCACCCCTGGAATAGACCCATACCATGGGCTGTATACTTGTATATACACACATTTATTGAGGGAATTTATTTTGCTAGACAATGCAGAATTGTTACAAGAAATTTGTTTTTCTTTTCTTTTAAACGCAATGGGGGATTAGGGGAGGAATTTTTTTTGGGCGGGGGGGTGAGGCAATTGGGGTTAAATGACTTGCCCAGAGTCACACACATAGTGAGTTTTATGTGTCTGAGGACACATTTGAACTCAGGTCCTCCTGACTCCAGGGCTGGTACTCTATCCACTGTGTCACCTAGCTGCCCCCTGGGATTTTTTTTTTAACTAGAGATGGGAGTATCACAGATGTGAAACACTGCATGTCCTTTAAGATGAGGTTGTATTATTAGTTTCACTTAATCGTTTTACTTTGTTACAAGTGGTCCCTCACAAAGTGGAGCAATTTCTAAAGGTGTGCAAAAACAAAACACATCAATAAAACTTAAAAGAAAAGGGAAGAAGAATGGAAAAGAATGTTAAAAAAAAGAAAGAGAAAGGAAAGAAAAGAGAGAAGAAAAGAAAGGAAAAGGAAGGAAAGAAAAAAGAAAGGGAAAGAAAAAAAGAACACAAAATAGAAAAGGAAAGGAACAGGAAGAGAAAAAAAGAAAAGGAAAGGAAAAAGGAAACGAAAGAAAAAAGAAAAAAAGCTATACCATTGTTTATCAGGAATATAAAAAGGATTCTTGTACTGGGTGGGCAATTAGAATATATAATCTTAGGGTCATAGAATTTTAGAGCTGAAAGGAAATTAATTTATTCCAATCACCTTCTAAAGGTGAATAAATTAGAGCTCTCTTCCCTCCATGAGATAAAGTGATTTGACAGAGGTTAAATATATACTTAGTAGCAGAGGTAGAATTCAACCTCCTACTCTTCTCACTCACCTCTTTTAGTCCCTTACAACCATCACCCCCACTACAGTAGTTATGCAGACAGCGGTTTAAGGTTTCATGGAAGAAACAGTGGATAAAAATCTAGCATTAGACTCAGAAAGACATGGGTTCAAATGCCACCTCTGACAACTACTGACAGTGAGACTAGAACAATGCAATTAATTCACCTTTCTCAGTGATCAAGGCAACTCTAAGTCACAGGAAAGGTGCCTACTTACTCTAGTAGAGAGAGTTTTCCCATGAGGAAGTTCCAGAAACCAATGAAATCACAGGTCTGGTCACTATCCCTTTAAGGCTTACAAACCAATTTACATATACTATCACATTGAATCCCTTAACAAACACTGGAGAAGTAAGCTATACAGGTACATTCAGTTTGCAGGTGAGGAGACTTCAAAGGTAAGTGACTTAGTCATGTTATCCACTGTAAATGTCAGAGGCAGGATTTGTACCCTGATTTCTCCACCCTCCAAGTTGAGTCTAACGCTCTTTCTACTTTATTATTTTTTGGGGGGGGGGGGCAATCAGGGTTAAATGACTTGCCCAGAGTCACACAGCTACTAAGTGTCTAAGGTCAGATGTGAACTCAGGTCCTCCTGACTCCAGGACCAGTGCTCTATCCACTGCACCACCTCACTGCCCTTCTATTATTAATACCTTTAAGATTTTCTAATTCTTCTTTCTTCCATTCTTTGCAGGGTAGATACACTCTCTTGAATCTCCTTAATTGAGTTACTTAAGATTGGGCATCTGGCATTCATTGGACATTTCAATTATTAAAGGGAAATATCAATTTGAGTAGATTCAGGAAGCATGTACATGGGGTGGGGGTGGGAACTGGATCCTTGCAGCAATTTGAAGCCTTGGGCAGGGTGTGAGCATAGAGGAAAAAAGAGACATCCCATATAGTGAATCAGGCATGTGAAATCTCACCTATCCTGCTACAAATCGTGACTAGTAATTCTCCAACAGTTTTTGAATCATCCACCATCACTGTCTTCACCGATCCATCCAGCATCCGTATTTTCTGAGGTCTTTGTTTCTTTTTATATTCCAAAATATCCTAGGCACAAACCACAGAAACATCTCACACCGGCTGTCCCTTCATGGAAATGCAGCTTTAAGTACAGCAGGAGTTCTTGTTAACCTTTCTTGTGTGTCATAAACTCCCTTTAGCAGTCTGGTGAAGCTTATGGACTGCCTTCTCAGGATATTTTTAAACGCATAAAATAAGATGTATAAGATGACAAAGGAAATCAACTACGCTGAAATATAATTATCAAAACATATCTTAAAAAATTCACAGAATCCAGATTAAGAGCCATGAAAGTAGAGGCGTGGATGAAGTTAATAACATTAGTTTCATAGGCAGCTTTTCCTCAGTGACAGCCCTTTTGTTCCACAAACACTAAATGGACTACAATTTCTAATTTAAAATCAATTCATTAGTGCTTAGTAATTGCTTTAATTAAAGAAAAAAAAACAAAGAGCAATTTAATACTGAAATTGTATCCACATAATTGTAGCTTACAATTACTTGAAACTTTGTGTGATTTATGGCTTACGTTCCATCCAATGAGGATAAGCTCATTTTGATTTTTGAGGGAGACTCTTCAGAGGAAAGAAATTACAATCTGAGAATTTTCCAAAAAGACTTGATAGAGTCCCTCTGTCCTCACATTCAATATGAAGACCACGCAAGAGATATTAGTCCTGGGAGCCATATTTGTATATGTATAAATAAGTGACCTCATCTTCTTGTGACTCCCCAAAATGCAAGGGTGGAGGACAAAAGATTTTTTCTTCACAACATTCATGCAATGCTTACAGTGGAGTTTTCACTGAATATTAACCAATCTAATTTGTCCACTCCAGTTGCTGGCCTTCATGCATCAGAGAGCTATTATCCTAGGGTTGATTAAACTGAAAGGAATGTTTAAACCCCTTTTCATAGTCTACCTCCCTTCCCTAACCTTTCTTTTTGCATTAAAATGACTTGTTGTTGTTAAAATTACTTTGTTGCTTTACAGAAGGATATGTTTTCAGATGCAAAAGATATTCAAGTCCCACTCCTCCCAAAAAGATGAGAGAAATTTAGTTTAATTTTCAAATTCGTTTTTCATCTCCCCTCTATCCTCCAACCCTCACTCTGCACTCTATGTCCCATTAATAATTACAGGAATATTCCCATACTATCCACCAGGAGATGCCTCATCAAAACTCCTGGCTACAGAACTAAGCAGGACACAGGATTGTACCACTGGGGAGTGGAAAATATTCAAAACACACACACCCAGGGCTATTCCTACACCCCCATGGAGTTTTGAGAATTTGGACTGTTGACATTTTCTAACACCCTTAGAGCCTCCCCTTCAAAGAAAATTGGCAGTGTTTGAGAATAAGTATTGCCCTTGGATCAAAACAAATGATGTTTTATCTTTTTTTCCTCCACGTACAGTAATATTTGCTCTCATTAGAAGGCCCAAAAATAAAGGCCCACAGGAAAACAAGAATGGGGAGATACGTACCCCATTCCGCAGCATGTAGTAGTCCAGCGTTCTGCCTGCTTCCAGCCAAATGCCTTTCCTGGGATCCTCGTCCGATAGGAATAAGCCATAGTCAGAAGCTAAGAATTAAAAAGTAGAAAGAAAATCTGAAACACAGCGACTTTGAGACCTTGGAAGATCCAATAATGTATGCACTGACTTCTGTGCATTGTCTTTTGACTTGGCAAATGTACTGGTATCCTTCTTAACAGGAGAGAAATATTTGCTTTTGGCAGCTGTGGCCAGGGTCTTTTAATGACAACACAAGCTATATTCAATGCTAAAGCAGATCAGGAGTCATAAGAACTGAGCTGTTGAAGTAATAAACCCAAATAAGATTAGGATTCATTAAGTCACTAGGCTGAAAAGTTATGTTTAACACTGGAGGAAACCTCAGAGACAAAACAATCCAGGCTCACCAGCTGAAGTTGGCCCTCATCCCTATCAGGACAGGTCCTTATGACCACTGACCCAGACTACTGTAAATGCCTCTTGAAAGGTCTTTGTGCCTCAATTCTTTGCCTCTCCAATCAGTTCTGAGAACAACTTCAAGGCTAATCTTTCTTTTGCATAAATTTGGTCACATCACCCCTCTGACTAAATATCTTCAGTGACTCTTTACTGTCTGTTGAGAACTCAAGTTTAAAATCTTGTGTTTGTCATTCAAAGCCCTCAACAACCAAATGTCACTGTACCTTTCCAATTGTGTCTCAAATTATACCCCTTCACATGATGCAGACAAAACGAACATAGCCCTAGTCGCAGAACACATACTGTACTCTCAGGCCACCCCCCTCTCTTCTTTTGCTTACATTCCCCTAAGGCAGAGATATATTCTTTTATCCTCTTTCCTCATCCTTTAAAACCCAGTTCAAATACCAATTATCCCCCCCTCCCCGCCCAATTCTTGAAGCCTTTATAGATCCTCCTGATTGGTTATGACCTTTGATGTTTTGAATCTCCCTAATGCACTTATACAATATTATATATCACAGTTAGATATAACTTCATCAACCAATAGAGTCAAAACTCAATCAAGGTAATGATTAGGTCTTATCTGAACTTCCTATCTCCACTGGAGTCCAATACAATACTTTGTATATAGCAGGCAATGAATAAAAAACTCACCTAAAGAACTCAATGAAGCATCTAACCAGAGGTGGGGAACCTGAGGCCTCATGGCCACATGTGGCCCTCTAGGTCCTCAAGTGCTACCCTTTGATTGAATCCAAACTTCACAGAACAAGGCCCTTAATAAAGGGATCTGTTCTGTCAGACTTGGTCTCGGTCAAAACGTCTTACCCAAAGACCTAGAAGACCCCATGTGGCCTCAAGGCCGTAGGTTTCTCATCCCTGGTTCTAGCCCCATAAGGGTAAGGTGGGTTATAACCATTAAGAAAGAAAGGTAAGGGGCCAGGAAAGATGCTAAGGAAGTATATTTGTTAATGTTAAGGAAGTATATATTGTTTCAGGCAAGAATGATCCAGCAAGTATAAATAATACTCCAAAAGAACCCAGGCAGACATTAGGATTACTAGACTTTCAATCATCTTCCCATTGTCCTACCTCCTCAGCACCTTTATTTGTATATTGGTGTCCCCAGGGAGAATGACTACTTAAAGGCACCTACAAAATCCATTTCTCAATTTACTCCATAAGCCAGACTTTTTTCCAAAAAAGCATAAATTCACCCAAAAAGTAAAGGAGAAGAAATTGATTGTGGTTCCAAAGAGCCTACAGGTACCCCTTTAGAAATGGAGACCCAAGTGAGGTTGCGAGTCTCTTATACCTCTGAAATTGGCAAATGCTAGTTCCCTAAATGTTTAATGTTCCCACCAAAGCCAGACAGTAATCTGACCACAGGAAAAGAAAAAGAAAGAAGAGTCAGACAGAAGACATAAGAAAGAAGTATTCAGAAAACAGATGGTGTCAGGGTGGTATTAGACTCCTGGAGGGGAAGATTGTTTGAGAGAGAGAGAAGAGAGGAGAGAGGAGGAAGAGAGAAGGAGAGAGCGGGGGGAAGAGAGAGGAGGAGAAAAAGAGGGTTAGAGTGCTAAAAATGTTTATTTCTAGGCTGTATTTATCAAAGTTTACTAGCTCTTGTGTGTATGTGTATGTGTATGTATGTTTGTGTGTATTTTTTTTTAAAGAAAATGTTTCTACAGAATTCCTCTTCATGCAGATCTCGTCCCTGGATCAAAAATCTTTGAACTTCAGTTATCTGATTTATAGTCTTCAAGGTTCTAAGACACATTTTCCACACCTTGAAGACTAATTCCTTGCCAACCTGGGGGATTTTCATTTCCAAGCTGTGAGGTGTATAAACATAATGACAGTACAAGGGGAGGGAAAAAAGAAAAACAAAAGCAAATGGGGCTCCTAATTTACATTGTGATCCATGGGCTCACTAGTTTCAATTAGTAATGAAAAACTGACATGTCACTACTTATTTTTAAATAAAATTTAAATATCACAAGACCCCAAGAAGGGCTAAACTGATAAGAATTATCTTTGTTCTTAATGACAGAGAGAGAAATAACAATGATCTTCTTGAAGTTAAAAGCCATGGGAGATTTTTGTGCACATCAAAATTTGGGTTGTACACTGTGTACAATGTCCAAGTAGGCGGTAATTCTTCAGAACAATTTTCACCGTGATTTATAGATGGGCCCCTATGCCAGAGGAGAACATTGTCTGGTTTAAGGAGTTATTTCGCAGCTAGGCAGCGCAGTGGATAGAGTGCTGAGTCTGGAATCAGACCCCAGACACCTACTAGCTGTGTGACCCTGGGAAAGTCACATTACCCTGTTCGCCTCAGTTCCTCATCTGTAAAATAAGCTCAAGAAGGAAATGGCCAACCACTCCAGCATCTTTGCCGGGAAAACCCCAAATGGCATCATGAAAAGTTGGATATGGCTGAAAGGCTTGAACAACAACAAACAACAACAACAGGTCAGCACAGTGGATAGAGTTCTAGTCCTGAAATCAGGAAGATCCGAATTCAAATGTGGTCTTAAGTCATTTGGCTAGTTGTGTGATCCTGGGCAAGTCACTTAACTTCTGTTTGCCTCAGTTTCTTCATCTGTCAAATGGGGAGAATCATAGTACCTGTCACTCAGGGTTGTCTTGAGGATCAAACGAGATAATATTTGTAAAGTACTTTGCAAACATTAATGTACTATGTAATTGTCAGCAATTAAAATATTTTAAATATTAATATTATTGTTGTCATTATTGTTTTACTTGCAAAATTATATATAGCCAAGAAAATCCTGAATAAAAATATTAGAATTCATGAGTAACCCCTTCTTGGAACTTCAGTATCCATCAATTCAATTTAACAAAATTTTTATTAATCACATACTATGTAGACGCGGTCTGGGCCAATGCACCAGAATCAGGAGAGGACAGAAGAAATCGGGGAATACATTCTCTAGAAGGGATAGTTGTGAAAGGAAGGATAAGATAGGGCTGAAAATGCAAATCTGACCCATCTACACAGACTATACACTGTTCTTGCCAAGCAAACGAGTTTGTATGCTATCTTAGAAGTAACAACAATCCAGTGAAGGTTTGTGGCAAGAGAGTTGACAGAATTATCTATTAGACAGATGAATTTGGCAGGTGTGGGAATGCTGGATTGAAAAGCAGAGATACTGCAGGCAAAGAATGGTTAGGAAGCTAAAATAATGAGCCAGATAAAAGGTGAAAGAGGCCATAACTAGGTAGGCGACTGAACGACTGGAGAGAGAAGAAATAAAAGATATCATAGAAATAGCGCCTCCCAAAGTCCTACTCTGAGGCATTACTGTGAAGTGAAGGTGAATATGGGTTTGAAGCAAGGCAATGATAGCTTGTATTATGCTTAAAGAGCCCTGAATTATAGCTTCAACAATAGACTGTGTCTGATCTCCAGATACCATCTTAGTTAGGAACAGAGAAGTTCATCACCAAGAGCTGATAAGTAGGTGATAAAATACTTGGTCATGGGAACCTATGAAGTAAAAAAAACATTAAATGGTCCTGAGGCCTTAGTGGTTCCTTCTGCTTTTGAAATGATGGGAGTAGAGTGGTGGAAAGGAGGTACAAGGTGCTAAAAACCAAACAAGTTTTAAGTTAGCTATAAATATTAATTTTATGTTAGTACTGTAAATGTACTCCTTGGACAAAAATCAACTGACAGAGGAGGAAATGAACCACATTAATATCAACATTCTCACTATAAAACAAAACCAGAAAATATAAGAAAGTTTGAAAAATCGTAGGAGTTCTTAACTTGGGGTCAGTCAATTTGCTTTTTAAAATATTTTGATAACTACATTTCAACATAACTGGTTTCCTTCATAAACTTATGTATTTTACTGTATGCATTTAAAGACATTATTCTGAAGAGAGGCCCATAGGTTTCACCAAACTGCCAAAGGTATACAGAATACAAAAAAGGTTCACAATCTGTGATCTAAAAAGAAGGAGGCACCATAAGTTCTTCTAAAAGAGTTGGTAGAGTTGTTTTTATCATGTGGCCTAAAGTAACAAGAAACATTCCATAGGATACTTGGCCATCTTGCCTTGTAGCCTTCAGGATAAGAAAAGGAGACAGCTGAAACAGATTAGGGACAGGTGGAAGAGATCTATGCTGGAGGTAAAATGATTTTGAAAGCATGGGAGCAGTTTTTAAGATAATCTGAAAGGGGAAAAGATATTAAATGATTAGGAAAAAAAATTAGAAAGAGTATTAGTACCTTCTCCAAAAGGCAATTAAGAAGACATATACCTACTTTCTCATCTCTTCAGTTTGTGTACTAGAATTTGTTAGAAAAGATGAAGAGGTTAGAATTTTCATTAAATTTTCCTAAGTTCCTCCAAACTTAGTGTCTTGTCTATCTCTGTATATGTATGTGTGTATTATGTGTGTGTGTGTGTATATAAACATAAAATACACACACATATATATACTTGTTGTATTAAATGTAAATAAAGGTAAGCATAAGTGGAGAGTAGAAAATACACTGGAAAATATGGTTCAGGATTAAAAGAAACAAAAGAGATCAAAGGCTTTTATAATATTGAATCTCATACCTGTATATAATAAATTGATGCTTCAAGAAAAGAAGGTGGTAAGTATGGTTATGTACCAAACATTACAAAAAAAATTTTTTAACTAGATGGATATTGACAGGAAATGACTGTTTAACAATATGGGAGTCATTTTACAGAATGCATACTGTATGCAGTCAGATTTTACCATATTAGTCATTCAAAAGGATAAATATGAGGATGCTATCATAAACTCTCTAACTAGACCTACTGGCAGTGAAAAAAGGGAAATGAATAGAGGAAAAGACACAGATGCAGACTATTACCATGCCCTACAGAAGTTTAGCTAATATAAGGCAATCAAGCTGATATAAGGCAATCAAAACAAGAGTCCAGAAATCCCCAATGTAAGTAAACATTTTATCTCCCTAAAAAGTGGAAAAACACGTAAATCAAGGAGCAAAAAACTCATTGATAAAATGTTTTAAAGGGAGATGGTGGGAGATCATGAGTTCCCAAGATCATGTCTCACAAAAAGCAAATGATAGCAGAATGATACATTAATCTTGAGAAAGTTTGATGCGAGGTATGAATAATCATGAGCATTAACAGATGAAAGTAGAACAATAAACAAAAAAAGTCACATCAAGCACAGTTTCCACAGGGACTTGTTTTCATAGTCTCTGTTAAGTAGAACAACTCCATTTGGACTTTAATATCTCAGTGTTTGATGTGCCATATGAAGCATTAACAATGATACTTAATAAAATGAAAAGGAAAAAGTAGCTGGCCCAGACCAAGAAAAAGAGGAAGAGAGTCATGGTGTAGGTGACACAATTTTCAAAGCAAAGAGGAGTTGGTTTATATGATATCTCAAAGAGGGGTAAAATAATAAATGATTAGGGAAAAATTCACTGATAGTATTAGTTTCCCCCACCCTAAAAGAAGATCAAGAAGAAATTAATACCAATTCATGTTGCCAACTTTCTAATATGAATAAGATATAAAAACAAAAATGATCTACACAGGCATGAAAGGCATACTTTCTGGAAGTAGGGGAAAAGAAGCTAGCTTCTCAAAAAAGAAATTCTACAACAGATTTTCACAGTCAAACAACTGATGGAAAGAGACTCAGACTCTGAGAACTTACTGTTTAATTTGTTAATTATTATGCCATACAATATTCCTTAAAAGGTGAAGCCTTTACTCAAGGGCACTTTGACAATCAGAATCATAAAATGGAGTGACATGCTCAGCAAAGGTATTTACCTTAGTCAAGAATGGTGTCCTGCACAGGCTCCAACAGTAAAGATTGCCTACAGACAATAAGGGAATTCCAGGTACTCTTGTTTGCTAATGATATTATATTTTTTGCTTCTCTCAGCTCCCAAAGAACTACACGAACTCTGCAGTAAAATTCATGGTAATTCAAAAGAGGCCCACCTACTAATCAATACAGTCTAAACCAAATGGAAGAATGGCTACCACCCAGGTGATGATGTACAGCTGAATGGGAAGTCCAATGAGTTAATTCATCAGTATAACTATCTTGGTGAAATACTGCAAATAAGCAATGACCTGGGCCAAGAATTGAATAGGAGGAAGAGGGTGGAATATATTGCAATTAGGAAATTACGTAGTGATTTTAACGATCACAAGCTGTTTCCTTATACAAAAAACCATCTGAAAAACACTAATATTCGTCCACTGATGCCATGTGGCTACAAATCATGAAATACAACAAGCTCAGAAAAAAATCAAAATTTTAGGTAGCTAAAAGGGTAACGGAGAGATAAATGGTGGGTAGAAGGTGGAAAACAGTACCGACAACGATTTACATGCAATAATTTGAGTTATCTCTTAACAAACATATAGCAAAACAAGCATTTACATATACAATGTTGAACAGAAGAAAACAATTACATGTGAAACTGAGAATCTCTATTATGTAAATTGTAGTAATTTGCACAAAATATATCATCCAGGAAATGATCAGAGAAAAAGGGGAAGTAGTAAAGAGGGAGAAGCAGAAGATTGGAATTGCATATGGACAACCTCAGTGCTTCAGTGGTATGAACAAGAAGAAAGAGTGAAAGAGGGGCAGCGAGGTGGTGCAGTGGCACTGGACTTGGAGTCAGGAGGAGAACCTGAGTTCAAATCTGGCCTCAGACACTTACTTAGCTATGTGACCTTGGACAAGTCACTTAACCCAGACTGCCTCACAGAAAAAAAAAAAGATACAGTGAAAGACTTCAAAATCATTAAGTATATTCTCTTTGTAGGACTGATAGGAGGGAGGATGTAGACAAGAACTAGGCTAGATATGAAGTAATTAATTATTACCTTCACCATTGAGGGGAGTGCATCAATGAGGTCATAGACCGCCTGCAGTATTCTTTGATTTTGTTTTGGTTTTTTTGGTAAGGCAATTGGGGTTAAGTGACTTGCCCAAAGTCACACAGCTAGTACGTGTCAAGTGTTTGTTCTGAGGCCGGATTTGAACTCAGGTCCTCCTGATTTCAGGGCCAGTGCTCTATCCACTGTGCCACCTAGCTGCCCCTCTTGCAGTATTTAAATACTGAAATCATAAGGTTCTGTCACCTGATTGTACATGCAGAAGGATGAAGGGCAGGAAAGGATCAAAAATTACTCTGGGGATTCAAGTCCATAATTTAAAGTAGATAAATATCTACTGTAAATATTGATAATGTAACCAATTAACTAATGTAAATAATAAATGTACTAATCTGATAACCATGTCAAAATCAATGACATATAAAACTTCCAAGAAGTGAATCTGAAAAATATTAGTATGGCAATAGTTCAAACAAGTATGGTCTTAAATACAATCTGTAATAACATAAATTTCTTGGCTTTCAAGCCAAGAAAAATAGCATTGTACAGTTCTGTCTTTTGACAACTGGCATCCTTTTAGGAAGGAATTTGAAGTGGTGATTTTCATAGTTTCAGAATCTTGATATGATGTCTGCAAAGTTCATGTGTTCTGTGTTTATACAAGAAAACAGAGCAGACCATGAAAAGCTGTCACGTAACAACTGTTAAATATGATGCCATAGTTTTAAACATTAAGAAAAATTAATCATTATAATAATAATTGGGCCACATTTGTATAGAATCTTAAGGTTTTTTTCTTTTCTTTTTTTGAGGGGACATGGGGGGACCATGGGTATGGTGGTGGTATAGAGAATGGGTCTTCAATCTTAACCAGGCTAGAGTGCAGTGGTCACTCACAAAGCTAACCCTAACAACGATTATCACAGAAGCTTTAACTTGCACCATTTTTCTGTTCTGGGCCAGTTCATCCCTCCTTAGTGTGCACTTAGTGTGGATATCTGCTTGGCTTTAGCCCTTCTGCAGCTGTGAACTTCCAGTAATCCATCAGCTTTGGTTTCCCCAGCATTGGAGACTACAGCTATGCACCACCAATACCATGCCCAGCCACTTTAAATATTTCAAATTATTTTCCTATTGCCATTCTTGCATTATAGGTAATAATATAATCAGTAGCAACTACTATCTACAGTTTTGTAAAGTTACCAACATATTTTCGTAACAATAGCTAGTTAAAAGGAAATAGAGTCAACTGCTTGGAAAAGCAAATTAGAACCTAATTGTGGAGGGCTCAGCCTAAGAGAGTGATATCGTTAGAGGTACATTAGGAAAATTACTTTGGCACCTTTGTGGATGACCGGCAGGTAGGAGGCATGGCGGATAGACAGCCAGCCCTGAGTTCAAATTCAGCCACAGCCACTTACTAATTATATGACCCTGAGCCATTGGGGATAATAATAGCACTTATTTTCCAGGGTTGTTATGAGGATCAAATGAGATAATATTTGTAAAGTGTTTAGCACACAACCTGGTGCACAGTGGGCAATATATAAATGTTAGCTATTATTATTATTATGAATGGATTAAAATATAGAAATGGGTAGGGGTGAGAGGACCATTTTGGAGTCTATTGCAATATTACATGTAAGAGGGTGGTGTTGTGAGTAGGGAGAAGGGGAAGAATGTTCTAAGAGATATCACTGATGATAAATTGACTGAGGCTGACAACTGAATGGAAGATAAAGGAGAAAGAGTCAATGATGGCACTGAGATTTCATGCCCGGAAGAAAGACAAAGGTGGATATCAATAAAAACAGGGAATTTGAAAGGAAGTTTTTTTTTTTCTTGGAAAAAGATAATGAATTGGTTTTGGACACATCAAGTCTGAAATGCTAAGAGGGATATCCAGGTGGAACTGTCCAGCAGGTATCTGAGAGCAGAACTTGGAGACAGGACACTTGGGTTTGAATCTTGATTCTAATAGCTACTTGCAATGTGATCATGGGCAATTGATTTATCTGAGCCTTAATTTCCTCATCAAAATGGGAATAATACTTGCAATATCTGCATCACAAAAATATTCTGGGGAAAAAAAAAGGACTTTGCAAACCTTAATAGTACTATCAAAATGTGACTTAATATTAGCTTGAAACAGAATTAGCAGTAATGCTCCATGAAAATTTAGGTATTACCTCCTGACTTACCTTGTCCAGTTTGTGCCTCGGGTACCCGCTCCCGAATGACTCGGCAGGCATCATACACTGCTGTGGATGGTTCAAACTGCATAGTCTTCACCACGTTGCAGTGGCGGACACATATCTTTAATGACAAGGCCACCATTTTTCTCAGTGATTTGAAGGCTCCCCCTCAGAACTGCTGAAGAACATAAAAATATACATTAGGATTTTCAGAACATTTGTTAGTCTAAAAGAGGCAGCATGATACAGTACAGGAGCTCAGGAGGCAGCTAGTAGCAACAGTGCGCAGAGCACTGGGTCTGAAGTCAGGAACACCTCCATTCAAATCTAGTCTCAGATACTAGTAAGTATCTGTGTGACCCGGGACAAGTCACTTAACCTCTACCTCAGTTTCCTCAACCGTAAAAAGGAGATAATTATAGCACTTACCTCCCAGGGTTTTGTGAAAATCAGATGATATATTTGTAAAATGCACAGTGACTGGTACATGGTACATGCTTAATAAATGCATGTATCCTTCCCTGGAGCTCAAAAAACCTTCTGCCTCTGAAGCAAACCATCAATCTAATTTTGGGTGAGCCTTTTAAACTCTTAAATGTTCCAGGCAACTCACTTAAGATGCTCAGCTGGACCTACATGGAGAGGGTAAACTTACTTATTTTGGGGGGTCTGGATATCAGTGAAATCACATGTCCAGTCACTATCCCTGGCTTTCTTTTAAAATTTCTATTTTCTTTTGTTTTTTTTTCAATACACAAAAATCTACCTTCTCTTCTTCATTCACACTCCCACCCTCAATGAAAAAGAAAAACAAAGTTCTTGTAAAAAGTAAACATAATCAAGTGAAATAAATTTGAACTTTGCCAATGTGGACATTTGCTTGCTTGGCATAGGTATATAAATGTGTGTGTATGTGTGTGCGCGCGCACGTGCATGCAGCCTTACGTGCATTCACTCTAACCATCTATCTATCTATCTATCTGTCTGTCTGTCTACTTATCTATCTTAATCTGCACTCTAAATCCATCACCCTTCTGACAGGAGGCAAGTAAGCATGTTTCATCATGAGTTCTCTGGAATCATTGTTGGTTACTTCACTGAGTAGAGTTCTCAAGTCTTTTAAAGTTAGTATATATAAAGTTGTTATTGTACAAATTATTGTCTTGGTTCTGTTAACTTCACTGTATCAGTTCATACAAGTTTTCCCAGGTTTCTCTGAAACCATCCTTTTTTATTACATTTATTACAGGGCAGTAGCATTCCATTCCTATACTACAATTTGTTCATTCATTCTCCAATTGATGGGCACCCTGTTAGTTTCTAGTTCTTTGCCACTACAAATATTTTTGTATATATAGATCTTTTTCCTCTTTCTTTGATCTCCTGGGTATACAGGCCTAGTAAAGGTATCACTGGATGAAAGGTAAACACAGTTCAGTAATTTTTTTGGGTAAAGATATAAATAGCTTTACAGAATGGCTAAATTAATTCACTGCTCCACTAAGAGCGCATTAATGCATCTATTTTCCCACAACCTCTCCAACATTTGTCATTTTCCTTTTGTTAACTTTTGACCATGAGGTAGTAACTCAGAATTTCTTTCATTTGTATTTCTCTAACTATTAGAAATTTGGAGCATTTTTTCATAAGGCTATTAAAAGCTTGGACCTATCCCTTATTAACAAAATAGAACCACACTACTAAGGCTAAAAGATCTGGGTCCTCTGTCATTTACTAGATGCTAGGGAGATAGAATAATAGCAGATAAAGTGCTTAACTAAGAATCAGGAAGTCCTGAGTTGAATCTCACCTCAGAAATATGTTAGCTGTATGACCTAGGGCAGGCCTGCACAATCTGCGGCCTGTCAAAGGATTTTAGGCAGCCTGCAAAACCCTCGAAAAACATAAAGAAAACATCCTTAGGATGTAGAGGAAATCCTTTGGCATGGCACAAGTTGCCTGCAGGCCATAAGCTGCCCACCATAGGTTGGGCAGGCCTGACCTAGAGCAAGTTACTTATTCTTTCTCAGCCTCGATTTTAATATCTGCAAAATGGGTATAAATAAAGCACTTCTTTTACAGGTTTGCTGTGAGGATCAAAAGATATTATGTATGTATATATGTGTATATATAATAGCTAATATTTTTACAGTACTAAAATTTATAAAACATATATACATTTATAATACATGATATAAATAAATAGTATTTATAGTATATGTATATATAATGTTCTGTAAACTTTAATACTATAGAAATATTAGCTATGATTTTATTATTAACTATACCTCGATGGCCTTCCCCAAATCATTCGACTTCCATTGAGTTTTACACCCTTTAAACGAGGTTAATAATATCTGCCCTGCCTGCTTTACAGGGTTGTTATGAAGATCAAATGGGGTAACCTCCCTGAAATAATTGTTTCCATTTTCATAGGGCTTTAGTGTTTAAAAAACACTGTCTCATGTCAGGTTATCCTCATGGCCACCCTTTGAGGTAGATGGTGCTAAAGGCATTATTATCTGTATTTTAAAGATTAAAAAAAAAAAAACAAACCCAAAGGCTCAGGGAGATTAGGTGATCTAGGTAGGTAGTATCAGAGACAAGATTCAAACCCTCTCCTAAATTCCTATGCCACGCTGCTACTCTCTTGGACAACTAGAAAATGAAATACATGCTGATATTATTATTAATGACGTGGTGTCAGAGACTTTACCCCAAAATGGGCCACCTAACTTTATTCCCCTCCAAGGGCTAAAAACAATTCATGTTTGGTGCATGAACCGTAGTTCACATTTGGGTTTTCTTCCAGCTGAACAGATTCAGAAATCGATTTGGCCCTGGTTTAAACTGATTCATGAGATAATTTCTTTTATTTTTAAATAAAAGTAATTCAGGGTTCAGCAAATCAGTAGTTTGTTCTAATTTGTAGAACGGCTAAGTAGATCAAATTAGATTATATATAAAGCATTTTGCAGACTTTAAAGCCCTATATAAATGTTAGTTATTAGCAGTATTGTCATTGAGATAGTCGCTTTTTTTTTGCAGAACCCAATAAAAGCATGCCATTGGCCACAATGAGGATCAGAAAGAGTGGATGGCTCACTACCATATCCTACTGATGGTCAGTGGGATAATTTCTGGTACAAAAAGAAAAGTATAATATAACTAATGTTTAAATGAGATGCAGGACTAGCATAGATAATATAAATCCATGAATAAATCAAAACCACATTTTACTGTATAGTTAATATTTATTTCAAATTTAAAAGAACTCCTAGGAAGAGCAGCTAGGTGGCTGAGCCTGAAATCAGGAAGATTCATCTTCCTGAGTTTAAATCCAGCCTCAGACACTTAGTAGCTCTGTGACCCTGGACAAGTCACTTAACCTTGTTTGCCTCAGTATCCTCATCTGTCAAATGAGCTGGAGAAGGAAATGGCAAACCACTCCAGTATCTTCCACAAGAAAACCCCAAATGGGGTCACAAAGCATCAGACACAACTAAAAATGACTGAAAAACAAACTAGGAAGTAGAGGAAAAGATTTATCAAGTTCATTTTATTCCTACTATTTTATACTTTGATAAAGATATTAGCAGGCAATGAAACTGTCAGATGTCAGTGAGAGCAAGATGATTCACTAATTGGATAATTAGTCTCTGAATGACTAAGAGTGAAAATACTAAGATTCAAGTTTATCAGTATGTTTGATAACTTGCTTGTTATGAGCAGTCATACATGACTGTCACTTGGATAAATAAAAGCTTTTTTAAAAAAACACTATCTCACTGTGCAAAAGAGAAATATTTGAAACATTAATTGAGGCCGGCCAATTTGAAGTCATGATAGCCTGTGCTAAACATGAATTTATTCTGAAAAACTATGGAAATTATTTACTTGAAAGCTGTCAAAATATATTGTTCAAAACACAAGAATTCTCTTCAGTAGCTATCTGCCCAATACTGAATTAATTTAGTAGAGCCTAAATCAACTTAAAACTGACAGAGTGACTTAAGTTACTCATGTCATTTTCCCCTCACAGACTCTGGGAGTTGGCAGGGATCTCAGAAGACATCTCATTGAACCCATAACTGAACAACAAGCTCTTCTCTAACACTCCCAGATACCTAGTTATTTTCAGCCTTTGTTTCATTCCATTTATTAAGTGCCTACTACTGCTGCTGCTGCTGCTACTGCTGCTACTACTACTACTAGTACTGCTAACGTGCAAAACATAGTTGTAAACATTGAGGATACCAACTCCAAAATGAAACAGCCTCTCCCCTCCGGGGGAGATACAGAGGTATACAAACAGAAGGTAACTGGAGGAGGAAGTGCTAATAATTGGGGGAGGTGTTTTTCCATAAGAAGTGGCCCCTGACCTGAGTCTCTCAGGCTCTTAACAGACAGTGGTGAGGGTGGGAAGGAGTGCACTCCAGGCTAGAGGGGCAACCTCTGCAAAGCCATGGAGAAGGAAGACGGAATGTTGAGTATGTGGAATGATTAGTGTACCAGTGGAGCTAATGTATGATGATAGGAGACTAGAAAGCTAGATTGGAGCCGGGCCTTTAAATGGTAGGCTGGGGAATTCATGTTTTATCCTTAGAGGTAAGTAGCCACAATGAAGTGTGATGTGGTTAAACCTAGGTTTTAGAAATATAACTGACTTATTGACAAGGGCTGCTAAGTGACACAGTGAATAGAGAGTTAAGTCTGGAGTCAGGAAGACCTGATGTGGGCAAGTCACTTTACCTCTGTCTGCCTTGGTTTTTTCAGCTATAAAATCAAGATAATAATAGCACCTCTCTCCCAGGGTTGTTGTGAGGATCAAATGAGATAAAGAGCTTAACATGCTGCCTGGGACATAGTAGGGGCTCTATAAATGCTTATGCTCATCCCTTTCCCCCTTCCTCCACATAACCATCACATACTTAAAAGGCAGCTATTAGGGTCCAGGGACAGCTAGGTAGTATGGTGTATAGGGTGCCGGCCCTTGAGTCAGGAAGACTCATTTTCCTGTGTTCCAATGTGACCTTATGCACTTACTAGCTGTATGACCCTGGGCAAGTCACTTAACCCTGTTTGTCTCAGTTTCCTATCTGTACAATGAGCTGGAGAAGAAAATGGCAAACCACTCCAGGATCTTTGTCAAGAAAACTTCAAATGGGGTCACAAGAG